ATCCTTGAGGGTGGGGCTGAAGCTGGTTCACATCACCCCCCTAAGCCCACAGTTAATAGCAGGAGTTATGTACAGAGAGAAGGTATTTAGAAGCAAATCAAAGACTGAGGATTTCCATAACTAACGGTCTATTCACTTCCAAGGTTGCTGGTGCTGCAAAGAGAAAGGAATCTGTGGCTGTGGCAGGTGATCTCCAAGACAGTCACCATCAATTCCTTCCCTCCGTGTCCACGGCGGATCCTCCACTGGAAGGCGGAGTGGATTCCTCTGCCAGCACCCCTTCAATCTGGGCGGGCCTACGTGACCTACTGACAAACCGGATGCAGGGGAAATGATGTCTGGGAATTCCAGGGCCACGTCCTAAGAGGCCTTATAGCTCCATCTGGGCTCTTGGGACGCTCATTTTGAGGCAATTTGACAGATGCTAAGACCCCCGCGCCCGCAGAGGGCGGTGCTGACCAGTCCCCCCTGTTGAGGCCCGCGGTCCAGGCACCAGGCGCCAGGGAAGGAGTCGTCTTGGATATTCTGAATCTGGAAAATGTCAGACAGGAAAATGTTTAGGCCCAGTCACCCCAGAAGAGGCCCCAGACAGGGTGGAGCAGAGATGAGCAAACCTCGGTGTGCTCTTGATGGTTTCTGCATGCTTTGAATTTGTAAAGTAGCAGGAGAGGCCTGCAACTCCGCTTCAGCCACACGTGCTGAAAATAGAACTGTGTTAGCAGGACCGGGACAAGCTGCTCATGTAAACCGGAGAACGCTGTGCGTTTCATTGCTACTCTTTTCTGTTCTCCCCACAGCACTGCGCCCACACCTGCATTATCCACTCATTCCTGGGAATGTAGCCAAAGAAACCCAAAACAGGAATTTGAAAGAATATATGCACTCCTAGGTCCACGGCAACATTCTTTATAACAGCCAAGATTGGAAGCAACCCCAAGTGCCCATCAATAGACAATTGAATAAAAAAGTAGTGAGATTATATATATATATAAAATATATATGTGTAATTTATATATATAAAAATATATAAATAATAGAATATTACTCGGCCATAAAAAAGAATAAAATCTCACCTTTTGCAACAGCATGGATAGACCTAGGGAGTATTTTGCTCAGTGAAATAAGTCAGAGAAAGACAAATACATATGATTTTACTTGTATGTGAAATCTAAAGAACAAAATAAACAAAACAGAAATGGATTCATAGACACAGAGAACAGACTGATACTTGCTGTAACTACCAAGTACAAATTGGTAGTTATAGCATAGGGAATATAGTCACTAATATTGTAGTAACTATGTATGAGACCAGGTGGGTACATGAAATATCGGAGGGGGGGCACTCTGTAAAGTACATGATTGTCTAGCCACTATGCTGTACACCTGAAACTAATACAGAGTAATAGTAAACATAAACTGCAACTAAAAAATTAAAAGTAAATAAAATAAACCTCACCGTGTTGCATTAAGGAGACAGCTTAGCATATTACTTAAGAACCTGGGTTTTATAGTCAAGACCACCTTTTATTTGAATTCCAGTTTTATAACTTCTAGCTGAGTGACTGTGAGCGAGTTGCTTAACCTCTCTAAGCCTTGGTCTGTTAAACGAGAGTGACATAAATAGTACGAACATCATGAAGTATTTAAGATTAAATTCAATTATGCATGGAAAGCACTTAGTCCTTGTCATAGTCGCACTGTGGTCAATCAATCAAATGGTAATGGTGATCCCCAGAGGACAAGCGCCTGATCTTACTCATCTTTAAATTTATTGTACATTTCAAATTAAAAATAAATAAATTTATTGTACGTGTTGGTGCCTGGAGCATAGTAGGTGATTAGTAAAGGCTGATGAATGAATGACACCGTGGAACACTATGTTATAAACTTTAAAACTGACCTTTTTAACATAAAGGGCCATTTTACCAGTAACTTATTTGGAGACAAGCATTTTAGGACAGTGGAATGTGTCATTCCCACCAGGAAGTCCTAAGTAAGAGTGGAGTGTCAGTGAGAAAAAAAGTCAATTCGATTGCTTTTGGCATTTAAGATCTCCAATGGCTGGATCATTCGGTATAAGCAGTCTTGTGATGCATGTGCAAAGTGAGTGACTTGCCCAAGGCTACCCACCCACCTGAGGACTAGAGCCCAGTCCAGATCTCTTTACCCCCTTACTATGGCATCCTTCCCTTCTTTCTTTGCATTTCAGGGCCATCCAGTGGGGTCAGGACTGATCACTATTCTCTTATCCAAAAGGATTGGGCAACCCAGGAGAGTCAATGAGAGAACCTGGGAAAGTGCAAGACCCAACTATAGGCCACGGAGGTTGTGTTGAGACCTTTCCCTTATGCATCTGTCTCATCTGTCATCATGACTCTTGCACTGGAATGGTGACCAGTTAAAAAGCCCCTTTCATTAGTAGTTATAGGTCGAATGTGATGCAATTTAGCTTTTCTGTAGTGAAGGTTTGTGGTTTTATCCCAGTTCTTAAACCTTTCTTCTACTTCACTGGTCTAAGGCATAAAAATGGCCTATTCCTAACTGACTTCACTGTGTTGTTGGGTGAGAGATAATAGCTTCTTCTTTGGTTTAGTGAATGTGGGTATGCAGTGTATCAATTAAGTTAGTTACACAGTTTTAATTACTTTTAAGTCTCAAATGAGTGATGAAATCTAGATACCAATTAAGCAGATTTAAGGCTTCTTCAATTACTTTTTTTCTTTCCTTTGAAACAGTCAAGGCTGCTGTTCACAGCTCCAGTGTGGACACTTCTCTCTTCTGCAGTCATCTTAGGGACTATGGGGAAATAGTTTGTGGTTCTCGCCCCTCTGTCCTGGCAGTACATTTGCATGTAAGATGTCACCAGCCAAAGAACATTCTTCAAATAGTATGCCAAAGAAATAACATAGATGTGCAGGCTGGAAAAATTCCAGTAAGTTCTTCACTAGTAGTAAGGGGAACAAGACCAGCTGAACAACAACTTCTTCCCTCTCCTCCCTTGTCCAACCAGGATTAATTTCTACACATTTCAAAAGATTTCATTTAAAGCAAAAACAATCAATCGAATTCTTGTAAGAAAAAACAAATGATAGGCAAGGGTGTGGGAAAGAGTGGGGGAGCCTGGTGGGTGTGGCTCAGTGGTTGAGCACCCAGGCACCAAGAGGTCACAGGTTCGATTCCCGGTCAGGGCACATGCCCAGTTTGTGGGCCTGATCCCCAGTGGGGGGCATGTGGGAGGAGGCCAATCAGTGTTCTCTCTCATCGATGTTTCTATTTCTCTCTCCCTCTTCCTTCCTCTCTCTCTAAAATCAATAAAGAAAAAAATTTTTAAAAAACAGTGGGGGAAATCCAGATGTGCAAATTCTGAAACTCGCAGCTGTGCTTCCCGCATCTTGATATAACTGTTTCCAAGAATGGCAGTTTCTGTTGTTCACATTTAAATCTTGAATCATGCAAAACTCAGTGACTTAGTCTTTATTTTCAAAGTTAGAATCCTTATTTAGGGTACTTGAATCTCATATCGAATACTTGCAAGACTTAAGAGAAATGCTTTTAAATTCTGACAGGTGTTCTATGGAGTTCAACAAGAGGCAGAGAGGAGATCAAAGGAAACTGGATTGAGCAACAACTGAAAATATTTATAGGAACTTCTGAAGTCAATTAACTGACCACATTTTACTCAACTTACATGAGAAAAAATTACATCGGATTTAAAACACAATTCAGCATTAACACTAGGTCATGTTTAAGAGAAGTTAATCCAGACCAAAAATATTTGGCCATGAGAAAATGAGTTGTGCTCAAAATATGACACTAACAGAAAATTACAAGGTTGGTGGAAAATTCAGGATCCAATCCTAAGGTTGTCTAACCTGATGGCGTCCACCGTAGCGGCAGAAATGACATGGGAAGAAATAGAACGCCTCACAGCTGCACTTCCTTTGGAATTGGGAGATTCTAAAGCTCATTTCATTTCTACCTGACTATTCAAGTATTTGGTAAATATCCCGAAAGCAAGAAATATTCCTTCTTCTGATTCCCCCCCTAGTTTCTACTACAGAAATTACTTCTTAATGTACTGTAACAGAGTAAAAGCAAATTTCAAGGCTGGTGTAACCAATCAAAATTAGTGGCATAAAAAGTTAAAGGAGAGAGGCAGTTTCTCATCAAGTCACATCCAATGAAGACAGAGGACTTATGTTAATGACTTGTCAGAAAGGGGCTCAAGGGGAAAAGGCATGTCCCGGCAGGGTGAATGAGCAAACTGCTGACTTAAGGCTCTGGTGGCTGACTTCCCACAGCTTTCATTTTAGCCAAGGTCAGTCAAGGACATCTGGGGTGGCTGGTTGTGCTCCCAGAAGTAAAATCTGAGATCTAGTTTCTCACTTGCCACAATCTGCATCATCAGACTTTCAATCCATCAATCTGATGCTTCTAAGCTGGAACATTTTAGCTCAAGTTCCTTTTTGAGTTAGCTGCTAGGAAGTTAGGGCCAGCTTTGCAAGCCTACTTGTAGCATGCATTTGTGTGCAAAGTGCACTCCTGCATTAGTATTTTCTTTTTCATTTGCCTTTTACTTAGATCATATGACTTATTCTATATAAATTCTATCTCTGTATTATATGCGGCTCTGTAAGCTCTTAATACCTTCTGGGACAAGGTAATGCATAAACTAATTTTAGATACATTTACTGTCATCAGGATGAAAGTGGATCATGCTCACTATGTATCATAGGCTGATTCAAGTCAAAGATGTGAGATTTTAAAACCTTTCTTAGCTAATTCATCTTCTCTCTAGGGTAAGACTCAACTTACAGAAACCTGTATTTCAGGAGTCAAAAGTAAAGGACAGATGGATTCAAACTAAATAAATGTTTCCAGAGGCTTCTCAAATTCCAAAAGGTTCATTAAAAATGGAATCATTCAAGTTCAAAGCACAGTCGACTAGAAAGGTGCTCGGTCTCGGTATATTATAGCACACAGGGTAACCAGAGGTGGAGTCTTTATTTCACAAGGTTCAAGATACAGTACAAAACAAATCTGTACATCTCTCTATTAACAGGATTTGTTTACACAATTATATTACACTTCACCAGCCTTTATACCGTATTTAATTAAATACAAAATAAATTTACAAAATGTCTACCATGGTGCTCTTTCCAATGCCAGCTTATGGTCTTTCAAAACTTCCCCTAAATATTGATAGTGGTTACACCTTGATCGTTTCAACATTGATTTCTTTCTTTTTTTCTTTTTTTTAAATCAGAGAATAGTGTCAGCTTGCTGGTCATTCCGATAGGAAAACAGCACCTGTGAGATGACTCCTTGCACACAACCAAGACGTCCTTGTCATGCATATAAAATCAGGTGTTTACTTGTGCAAATAGTCACTTTAAAATACAAACCTTCTTGGGATATTTTAAGTCTTCTTGAAATACCAAGTGGAAGGAGAATTTTTGCTTCTTTTCAATGACTTATATACATTAAAAATCAGGTAGTACCTCAGACAACATGGTATTCAGGAATTTTATGTTTTCATTTATACTTGAGAGCAATGACTGATAAAAAATATCTTCATGAAAATAGAAGTTTCTTTTGCTTTGATTATTCCTTGAACACCTCTAGTCATAATAATTGTGCAACATGTATTAAATTCACTTTCAAAACAAATACTAGATTTCAGTGGGGCAAAGGCAGCCCAGTTGCCTTTCCTGGCAGGTAAAGGGCCTGTTTCATCTGAAGCATTTTATTTTGAAATGTGCATGTGAAATGTTAGTCCAAACCTCTGTACAGGAAGTGTTTTGCAGATGTAGCCAGACAATAAAACACATGCTACACACACGAAGAGTTGTGGTCTTCATTAATAGGCTTGCATGCATACCTCCAAAACACCGGTTTGAAGAACAAATATGAGGAGCAAAGGAGGAAAAAACAAAGCAAAAAGCAAAAAAAAAAGCAAAAAAAAATCCTATGCGAAATACTTAAGTTTCCTGGAGGCAACAGCAGCTCTTTAATTAAATAAAGCATCAGATCATTGCCAGATCACAAGTTAAAGCTTCTACAACTTCCCAGTGGTACTGAGATAAAACAGCTCATCAGTAAAATTCACCAATTAAACTTATGTGCATAAGGGTAACACATTGTCAAGAGTATTAAGATTAATACAAGTTCATCTTATTTAAGTGTTAAATAATGAACTCTGAGAAATAGGAGTTTTGAATTACTTTTTCTGTGCCCTTGAATAGTAACCAAAACTAAGATAAGCCTCACTCAGAAAACAAAAACTTCAAACACAGAAAGAAAACCTCCAAACATCAATCAATGCTACCTTTGCAGAAAGAAATGGAAGTGAAACGCTCTCAAGACTCTGAAACAGTTGAGTGAACCACCACAAATGCACGAGCGAGTATCGGCTAAACAGTTATGCTGTCGTCACCTCTAAAGGCAGAAGCCAGACGAGAAGACAGGGCAGGAGCGAGGGGCTACCATGGAGATGGAGCTGCACTCTACCTGCTAACTCTATTTGCTAACATTGAAACTCCTGAATCCTGAAGTTAGTTTAATGTCACTGACACTAACTAGCTTTACTTACTTACTGTCATTTTATTCAAATGGATACCATTTGATTAGGTTAAATATCGAGATTATTTTAGGAGAAACATCAAACCCAGTTCCTACTGGCTTGGGTATCGTGAGAAGGGGGCAGAGTATCTTGAGACAGTCATAAGGACTGATGTCACAAAACCACAGGAACTAAGTTATTTTAAATATACCGTTCAATTTTCCAGTAGCAAAAGACCTAGGGTAAAATAGGAACTGGAAAAAAGCCAAGAGTGGGGTATTTAGAACATACACAATAAAAAGGACGTGGCAAGGGGCGAGCAGACAGGAAGCTTGTGCTGGTGAGGAACACGACCGCCCTTCCCAGTGCACGCTGCCATATGACACGTTTTTTCAAATTTGACAGGAGGAAGTAAAGATAGAGATAAAAATGCTGCGGTAAAGAAGAAATTAGGTGGATGACAGAGGGAAAAAAAGGGAAGTTTGGTCATCTTAGAGGTTTTAAAACTTTAAATCAACTAAAACAGTTCCTGTTTGAAGTGTGGATCATGCCGATTCTGAAGGGTGGGGAGAAAGGGCAGTAACGACCCCCACATATCCTATCAACTACACTCAAATCTCTGAGTGTAAGAGATCAAACATGTTGTAATATTTACAAGAGCTGCCCAAAATGGCGTTATACTTTTTGAGGGTAACATTTCCTGCCTTTCAGATATGCTTTTAGACAAATGGTTCTCGTTGTGACCACTTCAAATTTGAAGGCAATTATACTCTAAACAAAAAATGCATACAACTTCACATTTAAATCTAATGCTAAATACAATTCCAACTTCAAGAACCTAAGTCTTGCCACTCTTCAAGTTTTCTGGCAGATGAGGAATTATGGAAAAGGAGCATATGAGGTCAGTGGGCCGAGAAAGCGTGCTCAGCTACAAATGTGGTCTCAGACTAGATATAGGCTGGTGAACACCACCATCTGACAATGAAAAGAAATACAAATTCCAATTAACTGTTTCATCTGTATGATATGCCAAGTTCTCCAGTTTTCTTCATTGCTGTTTTCTATACAATTTAACCAGAAAGGTCTAAGACAACTAGCCTTGATTTTCCTAGTGTTCACAGAGCGAGGGTAGTGATACGATAGCTAAGCAAGTGGCTGACTTTCTACCATCACATAAAACTGCAGAAGGAAAAATCCACCTGAACAGTATGAACAGACTTTGGCTTTCCTCAACCACTGAGTTTCATACACCTTAGATTCCCTGTCTCAGCTTCATAATGGTAGTTGCTGTATCCTGTATCTTGGCAATAATACTTCATACTTAAAGAATTCAGGAAGTGATCTGTTCTTTTGCAGTAAGTAATGCAAACTAAATAAATCCTGGGAACAACTGCGTCAACTTTTGGGGCAGGGTATCTATGACCCTGGCATCCCTCACAGGGTTCTATAATGTTGCTTTCTAATTTCCCCCATCAGTCCAGCCTCTGGCTTCCAGATCAAGGCTCTGTGTACTCTGTGTACTCAAAACCAACAAGCAAAACACATGAAGGAAGTAGGTTGGGCAAATGCACAGTAGCTCAAGGAGTCAGTTCACAATGTTTTATAGGTACTCCATTCCCCAAAAATAAAGTTCACACACAACTCTGTAACAAGCCCTTTCAGTCTCTGAAGGAGAGAAGGGTGGTATAAAGTACGACAGTCACCAGGAGTTAGGAACCTCCCTTCCTTCCCCTTGAAAACAACAAATGTACTGAGTAGTATACTTGCATGTGGATTGGTAAAAGTTTGTGTTGTGGCCATTTTGAAACACTCTGAAGACTTTTTTTTTTTACTTAAAAGGCAAGTTCTATTTCCAGACTTCCAAACGTGTCACGGTTAAACCTGCAACTAATTGGGTTTTCCTTTCCCATTTATCAGTTTTTAGTGTCAATACACAAGACCTTAAAGATGGTTGATCGCAGAACTTATGCATGTTGAGAGAATGACTAAAAGGACCCAAGAAAGACAGCTGGATACAGTAGATGTTACTCTGAGTGTCTCACGTATGTTTCCAGAACAAAAAAAAAAAAGGAAAGCCACAGAGTGCTGTTATTCCAAACAGCACTGAAATTCAACTCTGTTTAGGTAAGAGTCACTTATCCCTGAAAATAAAGGCATCATGTTCTAAGCAGCTTTAGGAATTCAATGCTTCCTTGTGCCTCTTCCAGGAGGTGGCCACTGAGCCAATGTCCCAAATCAAACGCAGGTGTTCTCTGCAAACAACTGCCTTGGTTGTCACTGTTCGAGGCTGGACACGGTGGCTGTTACTGTGGTGGCTGTTGCTCTGGCGGTCCGTCCTGCTGCGGTGGTGCCGGCCGTGGCCCTGGTGGCCTGGGTCCAGGCATGTCTTGGTGCTGCCTCTGCCTGTACGCTATGACTGTGCCCAGCAGCAACGCAATGATAGTCATGAGGTAAAGGTCCCACTCGGGTCCCAAAAGCTGGTCCATATCAAGCTGGGTGAATATATCTCGAATCTTAATGGGAATAATATAAAAATCATTATGATCACTAAAATGTCAGAGAAGAAATCAGGAAAATTACAAATTAGAGATAAATACAAAACTTATTAAAATAATTGACTTTAGGAACAGTTTGCAATGTGTGTGTGTGGTGTTTTTTTTGAAAGTTTTTAAAAGCCTTGAACTGAAACTCAAAAAAATAATGTGTCTCAGGAATTGAGCTACTACCTCATAACAGTTGACTACGTAAAGTGTCTGCAGGGTTTCTTCCCATCAGCAATCTAATGCACCCACTCCCAACCATGTCTTTTTATTTTTTTTATCCTCACCCAAGGACATTTTTCCATTTTTTGTTCAGATAGAGTGGGAGGGAGAGAGAGAGAGAGAGAAACATCGACGTGAAAGGGACACATCAAGTGGCTGCCACCCACGCGACCAACCAGGGCCAGGGACAAACTACAACCGAGGTACACTACAGGCCGACGCTCTAACCGCTGAGCCAAACCGGCCAGGGCACTCCCAACCATTTCTCACAGAAAGATCTGAAAGAACACTGCGGACCATGGCAGGTCAAGGGGGAGACGTCAGCACCTGGCACACCTGCAACCTCGTGTGGTGACGGCACACCAGGGAGTAAGCTCTGCGCCAGTGACAGCAAGGCTGTCGTGTTACTTCTCTCTCGTAACTGGAGGCGGCAGAATTCAAATGTTTAATGGCAATGAGTAATGCCTTCGAGTTAGGGTTTAACTAAATATTTAACACCTGACTTTGAACTTAGACGTTATGTTCGTAGTCATTGTTCTAGGGCCACTGAAGAGATTCCCGTTATTTTCTGACTGCCACTCACAAAGAAAGTAGGCATGGCCCTGGCCGGTTTGGTTTAGTGGTTAGAGCGTCAACCGATGGACCAGAGAGTCCCAGATTCGGTTCCCACAAAGGACACGTACCTTGGTTGCAGTCTGTTCCTGCCCCGGTTGGGGTCATGTGGGTGGCAACCAGTCGATGTGTCTCTCTCACATCGATGTTTCTCTCTCTCTCTTCCCCACTCTCTCCCTCCTGCTCTATCTTAAGATAAATGCAAAAATGTCCTCAGGTGAGGATAAAAGAAAAAAAAAGTAAGTAGGTAGGCATGGTGTATAATCCTTTGTGTTTAAATAAAACTACATTTAAAAGGTCCTCATAATATATAGATGTAGGTACAGGCACTATATGTTTTTGGAAAGATTACAAGAAACTATTAACTGTGTTTCCTGGGGAAGGAATGGTCATGGGAGATTTTGGGTTTCTCTGACTATGTGACTTTTTGCTATCAATACTTACTACTTTTTTTTAAAGGTACAAGATCTACATGGTAGGATTATGGGGCATTTTATTGGTTTTATATTTCTGTCTTAAAAAACCAATGGAGATACAATGTATTTGTATTGTATGATCAAATCCTAGACTGTAATCAATAGTTTACTAGTCTTAAAACAGTGAGAGACAGAGTTGGAATAGTCCCGACAGAGGAACAGCAGGCTGTCACACTGTTGGCTTTTTAATGGAAAGATCCTTTCAACTAGCAATTAGCAAGGGGTACAGCATGCCCTGGAACATACTACCAAGCAGTTATAAATGTGTCATCACAAATGCATAAGCCATCAGAAGGGCAGAGTCTAACGACTTGTCCTCCGGAGCCCTACACCTGGAGGCCTTCAGTAGCATGGGCTGGGGCTGCAAAAAGGGAAGTCAAATTTCTCTTTACAGATGCTGGAGCAGCTTGGACTGCATTTACGTATCTGTGTAACATAGGAGGGAACCCATTCTGGAATCCAATGCTGAGATGGTATATCCACCTGTTCTGGAAAATGTTAACTAAAGCTTAACATCATCTTTTTCTGGTCCAGAATGAATTAAAGCTAAATAGCCCTTGTTTCTGAACAAGTCATTTTAAGACTTTCAGAGTCAAATCTGTACTAGTTAATCCATTATGAGGAACTAAAGATACTGGAAAGAAAATATAAAACTGGAGAACCCAAGAGCACCTACATGTAAGTATTGTTAACTACAGCAGGAAGTTTTGAAGAGAATGGCTAACCCATCTCCCATCTCGGTTCTCCCTTTAGCTTATTTAAATAGTTCAAGGTATTTTTAGAGAACAAAATTCTGGTGGTGGTTTTAACATGTTTCATTATCACAAGAATCTGAATACAACAGCCTGGGCAGGTTGTCAGGTTCTACTCCTTTCTTTTCTAAATTATCTTCTTTTTTTTTTTTTTTTGGTACGTGCCCTTAGTGGGAACCGAACCCGGGACTCTGGTCCGTAGGCCGATGCTCCACCACTGAGCCAAACTGGCCAGGGCTCTAAATTATCTTTTTAAGGGAGGTCTGAGTCACTGAAAAGCACTAAGTCACCTGATTTAATGTTTACTGATTTTAGTTAACTCCTGTTTCAAATTGCCATTGGTTGGCTTGGGAAAACCCAAACCAGAAAACACCTGCATCAGTGCAAACGCTTTCGCTTTGGGAGCCAGCTGTCAAACAATACCTGAAAACTAACTGCTGCGTGGCTACACCCACCCCTCACCTGATGAGGGCTGCAGGTATTTCATCTGGGGGAAGAAGGGAAGTGACCAGACACTTGCAGGATACTCCTCCCCTCTCCCCGCAACATTTAAAATAGAAGCCTCTGGACTGAGGTTACATCATCTGTATTTTAACTGAAAGAGGCAAGGACCACTTACATTTGTTTCCCGTATGTACTGCAAGAAATAGACGACACCCAGTTTGCAGAGCGCCAGGAAGACTGGTACTTGTGCATCTGGGCTGGCTTCGGCTGCCATGTCATAGAAACGTTTGGCAAGGTGAATATCCTATAAGGTAGGTAATAAACCAAAATTCGTTTCTTGTTAAAATAAGAATACTTGTTTTTTAGTTTATACATTAGGACAATTTATTTCACCTTTCAAGTTTCATTTTAAAATTTCCCTTACCTAAAAAAAAACAACCTCAAGCTTTAACTAGGTAATATTTCTTTAATTACCTAACTGCTTAATTTGGACAAATTTAATTGAAAATTTTTAAGACTTCACTCATGTTCCCCTGATCTGACCTCCTCTTGCTGTGCAGATGTACTGCCTACAGATGAAGACTTTCAGAGTTAAATGCTGCCCGGTCTCACACCTACACACAGCACTGTTACCCTGGGCATTTCCAACAATCAGTGTCTCTCTCACATTGATGTTTCTCCCCCCGCCCCCTTCCCACTCTGTCTGAAGATAAATGGAAAAATATCCTCGGGTAAGGATTAAAAAATAAAAAAGTGCACAAGATAATGTAGTTTTTCAAAATTCTTTAAGGATACCCAGGCGAAAACTTAAGACCATGGGTCTAAAAACTGTTAGATTTCACTAGGAAGGTTTAAGAATCAGAAATAAGGGGAACAGGGTGGGGCACTGTGTGAAGAAGGTGAAGGGATTGAGAATTACAGATCGACAGTTACAGACTAGTCATTAAAGTACAGCACAGTAAGTACAGTCAATACTATTGTGATAGCAATATGTATAGTGCCAGGCGAGCACTGGAAATATCAGGGCAACAGTTTGTAAAGTATGTGATTATCGAAATCACGATGCTGTACACTGGAAACTAATATGCAATAATATTAAATGTAAACTGTAATTGATAAAAAAATTTTTAAAGAAATCAGAAATAAGTTTGTCAATAGCAATCGTCTTAATTAATTTCAAAATAATTTAGAAATGACAGAATTTGTCTGATTATGGGTGGACAGTTTCTCAAACGAGGAGTTTTCAATAGAGGCTGCACTACATTTCTATTTTCGTGTATCTGTTTTAATATCCTAAACATAACAGCACAGATATCAATATGTGTGTGTGCTGGAAGATGAGAGATGCAAGGTTAGTCCCTTGAAATATTACAAAACTGTCTCATAACTTAGTATCTAAAATCTAAGCACATTCCGAAGAAAGCCTATTTTCTATAAAAATGCAGCCCTTTCTCCCAAACCACCACTTGTATTATTCAAACATTCACTTTGCAGCCACGCTCACCTGCTTGATGCCCAGTCCCTTCTCATGCATGTATCCCAGATTGAACATAGCTTGTGCACTATGCTGCTGCTCAGATGCTAGACGATAATGAATAAACGCAGTCTCGTAATCAACGTCAGTGCCAAATCCATAGAAATGGTAGTCTCCAAGCTTAATTCTAGCCACAGTATAGCCTTAAACAAAAATTAAATGCAAAACTTCCAATAAGTGTTTAAAACAAGACCACACTGTTATTTCTCTTCTCTTCCAGTTAACATGCTTACATAAAACAGAATTGTATTTTGTAGTACACAAATTTTACAACAAACCCTCGGCTTTGTAATAGTCAGGGTGAGGTAAAACAAGGTGGGGGGGTACCCCCCTATGTTTCCAATAATACTCTTTAAATGGTCATGCTCTATTCTATGATGTCATTTATATTTTAAAATAGTTCGACTGGAACTGTTTATGCTTGAAGAAGGGATGACTGGCACACAATGTGGAGAGTAGTGTTGTGAGAAAGAACTTTTCAAACTCAAAACAGTGGAGAAGGTTACAATCTATTGGGTGTTAGACTCATATTCTACTCTACATTCTAGTCAGTGTTCATTCACGCAATACACTGGGCTCAACCTAAAAACCAGACAGTGAACCATAGCATGACATAGATGTCTAGTACAAACACCTTGCAATTCAGTTTAGAAACCCTGGGACTAGAACTTCCACTTTAAGAATAAACTTCAATCACGATGCAAACAAGTTAAGTAATAGTATCTCTGCTTAATTTTAAGGTGACGAATGACAGGATTTAATTTTTATGGGAGAGTAAGTGAAACTCCTGTGCTTTAAAGGAACCAAGTGTTCACCTTGCGAGGCGGCCCTGTTCCAGTGCAGCAAAGCTCGGGGGTACGTTTCATTCTCCCCGACGATCGTGGCTTCTCCTACAGGGAAAGATGTAACACAAGCCAGGCATTGAAAGAAAGGCACCAGACTGTTAGGCTTCATTTGAAAACTAGGGTGACTATGTGGATTTAAATAAGAAGTGGGATATAACAAATATTAAATGGAACAAATATGGTATTAAAATCACACAGGTATTAGAGTAAAATACTGAGCTCAAAGGAATCACTGCATTTAGGACAACACTGAATTTTGCAACGTGTCATTCACAGAATCAATAATGCGACTGACTACTTAGCCACTTCTGGGATCCACATCCTGCTGGAAAAACAATGTTTTGTATCTGTTGTTCTGTGAAAATGTATTTGCTGAAAGCGGTCAATTTTATGGTGAATGTCAAATCTATTTCTACTGACAGCTCTGTAACTCTAACTTGGATGGCTTAGAGATCCGAGGGAAAATAAAGTACGCATGGGTGGCAAGTTCTGTTTACAACAATAAAGAAGTTTCTTTGTGGCTCTTCTTTTTCAACAGGTAACCTGATGTGAACCCTTGCACTCCGAGCCCAAGGCAGGACGCCAGTGAACCTTACTCTGGTCGAGAATGAAGGCGGCGTTGCTCTGGGCCACTTCATAGCCTTGTTCAGCCAGCAGGAGGTACTGGATCACTGCGGCATTGTAGTCACCGTCTTTATAGCTGTTATAGGCGGTCATAAGCCTCTCGGACCAACGGCCCCGTTCACATACGTTCTTAAACAACTGTGAGAACAGCAAAGAAAAAAAATCAATGAAAGAATAAGAAAGATGGCCAGAAAATCATTTTTCACATCGGCCACTTGAGTGTTAAGCATGCTCTTAGAAAGCCTGGCAATTTTACTACGTATATATAAAAGTCTGGGATGGATAGTTGAAGTTTTCACTTAGTCTTTAGAATAGGTTATACAAACAATAGCAAACAATTATATACCATTTACACTGGCCAGACACTGTTCTAGTGATCTATATACAGTCAGTATTTTAGCTCCCTTAGCCTCCCACGAAGTCCCTGCGGGAGCACCCTATAAGGGGAGTCCTATCAACAGCCCCGCTTTACACGCGAGGAAACTGCAGCAGGGAGAGGTTTAGAAACTTTGTACGCATTTATCAGTGTCACTCTAAAGTGCCAGTTATGAGCGCGCTAAGGACGACAAGTTCCAGTTAGGAGACAGTAGCGCCCCCCTTTTAGCATCCTAGCGTATGCTTTTTGATCCTATGTCTCAGACACTGTCGTATGTGCTAGAGAGACAGCGGGCACAATCGCTGCCCTTATTAACACTGATTCTATTAGGGAGGGACACATGAAATAAGTAAGTGTGACGGTCCCACACAGATCCTCAGTCTTCCCTCACTATACCACTGCTACTAGGCTGAGTCTGTTTCTACTCTACAAGAACCCACACAAAGAAAACCAGAATTAAAGTGGTAGACTTTCCTACTAGGCAAACTGATTTCCTGTCCGGGAGTTGGTGGAAAGCCCTACCTCCACGGCATTGTGGCACGACCGCATGACACCTGTGCCGCTGGCGTGCATCTGCGCGAGGTTATAGAAGGCCAAGATGTGGCCTCCCTGAGACGCTAAGTTAAAATACTTCAAGGCCTGTTTATAATCCCTCTTGACTCCAATGCCATCTGTAAGGAAAATCACATGAAGGGTCAGGAATAGTCTCAAATAAGATTTAGCTGAAGCATCAGAGAAGTAAAGGAGTAAAACGAAGTAAAATTCAGAGTTCTAACTCAGGAAAAATGTGAATCCTATTAATACAGATCTATACATTAATACACATGAACATAATTCACAATAAAAAGCAAGATGCACAAATTACTGAATTGGGAGAACATTAATCAGCCAGTGACATCTAGTGGAAACAGGTAGCTTGGGTCTCGGTGTATTCATCACTAATCCCACTGTTACTTACTATAGTACATGGAGCCAAGCTGGAGTTGCCCATCCACCCAGCCTTGTTCAGCAGCTTTCTGGAAATACTTCAGTGCCAGATCATAATTCTGCAAACAAGATCATCTCATCACACGATCACATGACAAGAAAGCTGAAAAGGCTGACATCCTCCAAAGTCAGGAGGTTCTTTCATTAAAAAGAATTAACTAAACATACAACATATTCTCAAAGAGCCATTAAAAAAAAAATACCTTCTAATTTTTATAACAGGTAATATTATACTTGAAGTCATAGGAGGATTAGTATTTGAGATTTTGAAGAAAAGCAAATTGAGTTTTTGAGGAACAACTACATGTTTGCTCCCATAAAGCATAACCACCACCAGGGGAACACAAGGATGGATGTAAGAAACAGTCACATTGACACTCAGGAGGTTTCTGATGATCTGTACAGAGCAGTTACATGAGGCAGAAGCCTGGCTGCTTTGAGCTAAAGAGTGAATGGTAGCAGCTCATATAGTTCATTCTTTGGAAAACTTTGGCTGTGCAGTGAAGGGCCGCAGAGAGGAGAGGTGGTAGCTAGAAGGGCAAAGAGTAGACCAGGAAGCCTTCCTCCTCCTAAATGGGAGAGACCGCAGCATTTTCTCAGGTTTGACTGAAGAAGTACAAGGGAGATGTGTCAGTCTCGGAGGGATGGAAGAGTAGGCAGGGTAGAGAGCATAGGTGGAAGGTATGAAACTATGTCTTCAGGAGACGGTCCCAGAGACAGCCACTCTAACAAGGCAGTTGGGACAGCAAGTACAGGCTGTGGAGTGGGAGGGAACCAGATCTTAGACAAAGGGATAAGGTTTATGTTTGGTTATAATGAAATGGCCTGCCTAGGCTGACTGGAAGCTAATTAAGGACTACTTCCCTACCTCACCAGATGACTACTTGTTAAAATCAGAGTGTTAGACGGGAAACTTACAACTTGAACTCCTCTCCCGTAGAGGTAAGCCATTCCAAGCCCACTCTGTCCAACTGGGTTGCCCTGCACACCAGAGACAAAAGAGTGAAAGAATTCACTACAGAGTAGGCAAGACTAAATGCCTGCAAAAGAAATACTTTACAAGCATTATTTTCTATTCAAAACAAAATTTTCTCCTTCCCATCAGGCTAAACATAATACTGACTTTTAGATATTTGGGGGCTTTCAATAATTTGCTGGGAAAAAAAAGAATAGTAAATTCATTTAGAATTAAATTTTGGTGACTTACCTTATGACTATCTGTTCCATGAATTTCCAATATAAGACATAACGAATATGCACTTCATCTTTTAAGGACTAAGAGTGGTCACTTTTTTTGGTAGTTTTTCTATTAGTCACCTCCCTCCCCAGTCAAGGAGATGCCATGGGGTACAGTTCACAACCACGTAATAACAGCAATACTGGGATCAGGTGGCAAAGATATGCTCAAGACTACTGGGGTGTCACAAACCAAAGAGAATCATTGTTTTGAGACTTAAAAAAGAAAAACCTAAAATTCACCTACACTCCGAGGGACAGAAGGCATCTTCAAAAAAGCGGTGCAGCAGTCCTTTGGGAAAACTCAACTGACACTGAGAACTACGGTAACAGGTAGCTGACTAGAGAAGTGTACACAATGGAGGCATACAGGGTCTTAAATATTCATAGGTCACTTGCTCTGTGGCAGAGAAAGCCTAAATTATGTACAGTGATTATCTAAAGTACCCAGTTATGTCAGCTTTAAACCTGAAGTTGCAACACAGATAAGATAAATTATATAACTCTCAATTCAGGAAATCTCTCAATGAAATTTCGAGAGAGACTTAATATACAATAATCTGATCCCTATAAAAAAAAAAATTGCTTTTGCCCTGGCCGGTTTGGCTCAGCGGTTAGAGCGTAGGCCCGTGGACCGGAGAGACCCGGATTCGGTTCCCGCTAAGGGCACGAACCTCGGTTGCAGTTTGTCCTCGAACCATGTTGGAGTTGTGTGGGTGGCAACCACTCGATGTGTCTCTCTCACATTGATGTTTCTCTCTCTCTCTCTTCCTCCCTCTCTCTCTCCTTCTCTATCTGAAGATAAATGCAAAAATGTCCTCAGGCGAGGGAAAAAAAATTTGCTTTTTATTGGGAAGATTTTTTTCTAATCAATTCATTCCCATGAATCGTATTTACATAAATGTTTTCAATAATTTATGGCATGACTTGGTGATAACTAATCCTTTAATATAATAAACATGTTTATTAGAATAACAGTAATAGGCACACATTTGAATGCATGAATCACAAGTTCTTACCATGTCAGCAGCTTTCTTAAAGTAGTGAAGGGCTGTCTCATTACTCTGAGGTACAATATCACTTCCCTCTGAATACATCTGGAAAACAGACCTCAATTTTATTAAGAGCTATAACCGTCTCTCGAATTACAATTTTCTCCTATTTCATCTCATTCTGGTTTTTGTTAGATCTCATGAAATCTTTGAACAAAATTAAAAATTCCCCACAGGGTATTTTAGAATTAAAAACAACCTTAAAAGTCGACACATTCTATGTCATATCAAATTTATGAATTACGTAGACATAAATATTCAAAATCAGTTTCTAGATCAACCTCAGGAGAAGAAATCTTTAACCCCAAGAGGAATCTCTTTCTCCCTCTACCCCAGGCAGTTAATCAGTGACTGAGCATGGAAAGGAGAGCTGTCGGCAATGGGTTTTCCTTCCTCCTCTACCACTACTCCCCCCGGGACAAGATAAGGGCAAGAAACAACTAAATGATTATTGTAAAAGGCTTTAAGTACCAAATGGTTAGAATGTCAGGTATGGAACATGATAAAAAAAGAACAGAATGACTAATACTGTTTCTATCCACATACACATTCATGACAAAGAACATTTTTGAAACAGGGGTAGTTAGTAATTAGAGCAAAAATTGATAAGCTCAAGTGAAAAGTTCTTAAATGCTTAACAAGAACAGTAAGGACTACCACTATTGTCTAATGTCTAAATGTCAAGTTCTCAGGTCCCAATTAATGGTGATCATGTGGCGAATGCTGATTAGATTTTTCTATTTGGAAAAACTTTTGAGATATATTCCATCTGAGCCTCCTAACTGTAGGATTTGGTTACAGATGAAAATACTGACTGTTTACACTAGAATAGCTTTCAAAATAATGAAAAAGGAAGTCATGCGGTTGTGCCATGACATGGAATCTATTGGTTAGGTCTCTAGACGTAAATGTTCAGGAGAAGAGGACTGCACTGAAAGGTGGGTCATGGCTATCTCATTTAAGACACTAAAAAGGTCTGCAGACAGATTCCAACTGAATCTAACCTCTATTCAGCATGGGAGTTAACAGGCAATTATGACAGACCAGCAAAAACCTGACAGCATCAATTCCTCATTATTATGTTTGATACATGAACAGCAGGAGCTCCGATAGTGGTAGCTAATTTCAGTGGGGAATTAACATACTGATGAGCAAAGGCTATGTTATGTTTAAGTCACCTAGGAAACTGCCTCTGAATAACAATGCCTTAAGACAAGATAAATAACCTGGCTTTGGCAATTTTATTTCCAGTTTATTTTTGAAAAACTGTAGATCCTGAACACAATATGTACTTACTCTGCAAACACCTCTTGCTATTACATCATACATTCACTGATGTACAGTACCTTTCCCAAGAAGGCCATAGCATGTGAATTGCCGGCATTCGCTGCTAAATTGAAGTAGTCAAATGCTCTCTGTAAGGAAAGAATTTAATAAAATAATTAGCTTTCAATAGAATCTGCCCTTGGCTTTTAACCAAGATAATTATTTCAGGAACAGTTATATGGCATAATCTCAGTTTAAGTAAATGGTAACATGACATCTATTGGTTGCTCGAAGGTAACCCCCCTTCCCTCTCATATCCAATTCATCACTAAGTCCTGTTACCACCAAGTACATCCTGAATGCATCTCCTATCCTCCATCACAGTCTAGTCTAAGCTACATTATCTCTCACCTGAACTTCTAAAATACGCCCCTGCCCTCTAAACCGACTGTTCTTATTTTTTTTTTATCCTCACCTGAGGACATTTTTTTCAGATAGAGCGGGAGGGAGAGAGAGGGAGAGAAACATCGATGTGAAAGGGACACGAGTGGCTGCCTCCCACACGACCCCAACCAGGGCCGGGGACAAATCACAACTGAGGTATGCGCCCTGACTGGAACTGAACCCGTGACTCATTGGTCCGTGGGCCGATGCTCTAACCGCTGAGCAAAAACAGCCAGGGCCAAAGAGACTGTTCCTAACCCTCAGCATGCGGGTCCTTCCAGCCCCTGCAGTGCGGCAGGGAGTGGACTGACGCGACCAGAGACAGCGTATCTCAGCGCTGTCCCCTCCGGCCCCTGCGCTCTGGGCACCCCAGCCGTGTCCTCCCTGCTTCGGGACCTATGCACAAACTGTTCTTTCTGGCCTGGAATAATTTTACCTCCAGGCTCAACTTACATGTCAGCCACCTCCCAGAGACAACTGTCACCTCCCACTCATGAATCTGTCATTGTTCCTTTAATTCTCTGTAGTAACAATCACAACTTATTACAGATTTTTTGGTGTGATCATTTGAAAAATATCAAATGCTCCTATTAAACCTGAAGGTCTGTAAGGACTCAAGGAGCAAAGCTGTTCTGTCCAGCACTGTATCTGGACTGCTTAGCAGTGAATGGCACGAAGCAGGATATTTTTTGAATATATTTATGTACTAGGAAGTCCTTTTCTTTCTTCTTTGAAGCCTGTGAAATAATATATCACTGTGTAGTTCCTTCATAGGTAGGCAGCATACATCACCAAGAATATTTTAAAACTTGTGTAAAATATATGCAGCAAACTTATTCAGAATTCTGTCCCCTCACCTGACATTATTAACCAGTTTATCTGATGCTTCACTGGCCTAATGACATACATTTTAATGATTTAAACACAATAAAAGCTGTCAAAATGCCGTCTGAATTTTTAACAAGCATAGATATTTGGCATAGTTTTGTTGATAAGTGTATTTTTTTACAATCTGATTCTTAAAGTTGATGGGATATGGTATATGACATAATCTTCATTAGAATACTTAATGGCATGGGAGAAAAACTAAGTTTTATGAGTCTGACAAGCACTCACAGAGACGTTACTATGTGCCAGGCACTGTCAGGTGCTGGAAAAAAAGTGGCCAAAAAGGCAGACACAGCCCGTGCTCTTTTGGACCTTATGTTCTAGCAGAGGAAACAACTTAATTAATTTATAGTGGACAAGGGCCACAGAAATATAGATTTTTAGAAACCCTAACTGTGGCACATGACCTATCCCTGGAGTGGTGTTGGGGTCAGAGGAGAAATTAGGAGAAAAGAGATTGCAGGTGAGTTCTGGAGGATGACTAGGAATTAGCTTTGTGAAGAAGGGGGTGGGCCATTTACTCTAGACGGATCAGCTAGCATCCCAGAAGCCCTAGACAGAGAGGTCCTTGATACTTTCAAAGACCTGAGAAAGGTCCGTGTGCCTGTGACTGAGAAAGCGAGGGGCTGGTGAGGAAAACAGAGATGGGTCCAGGGCCTCGGAGGTCATTTTAAAGGCTTTGGTCTTTAAGCTACTAGAAACTGTGGACCACTCAAGAGTTTTAAGCAAGGGAACCACACGATCAGACATATGGTTTACAAAAACAGGCTACTGTGTAGGAAATTCACACAGTAGAGAATTCACTAAAGTGACAGGTGTACCGATGGAAAAAAAGGGGATGAGATGGTGATATTTAGGACATAAAGCAGACAAGAGTTGATGACCGGATATAGATCTGACCACTACAGTTGTATACTCCTAATTTATCATAAACTCATCAATGAATTTTCCTCCATTCTATGAAGTATTTTCTAACAGGAGTTTCAAGACATGTTTCAATCACATACCTGTAGAAGACAAAGACACTATTTATGTAATGAGAACTAGGTTTTAGTATTAATAAAACTTTCTCCGCCCCTATGAGGTATAATCACATTTTTCTTCTTTTGCCTCCTCTGGGGTTAGTTAGATCTCGAAAGTTCACTTGTGATGGCTGTCTTACTAACGCAAGCCTGACACTGTCACTGACTTATTAGCAAGAAATACTTCTCCAGAGGTACTTCTGCCACAAGAGGAGGTGCAGAGCCCGAGGAGCAGGAGCGGTACCTGATGATTCTGCTCCACTCCACGCCCCCCGTGCAGGTGCAGCTGTCCCAGACCGACCTGAAACGGCAGAAGTGAGGCACAAGTCAGCGCCGCGTCTGCAATGCGAGTACATGAGGCGAAGAAGAAATCACTTGGTCAAAAAGAGGTTTCTGTTCGTAACTCAAAGATTTAGTTTTAACTCCTGAAGATACTATGCTACTTTAATCTACATTTTTTTAAAAACTAAAAATGTCTTTTTAAAAAATATATATTGTTGAAAGTATTACAGATGTCATTCTTTTCCCCTCCATTGATATCTCCCTCCCCACTCCACTCCCCGCATATATGCATATAAGTTCGTTGGTTTATCTCTTCCTGCCCCCTCACCCCCCATTCCCTCAGGTCTGTCAGTTTTTCCTTTTGAAAAATATCCAAGGATATTTTTCTACTGATTTTTAGGTAGAGTGGAAGGAAAAAAGGGAGGGAAAGAAAGAGAGAGAGAGAAAGAAACGACGATGGGAGAGAGATACATCAACTGGTTGTCTTCCACACAATCCTGACTGGTGCCCGGGATCGAACCTGCAACCCAGGTACGTACCCTTGACTGGGACGCGAACCCGTGACCCTTCAGTCTGAGGGCTGATGCTATAACTGCTGAGCTAAACAAGCCAGGGAAGTTTGTTCTGCTTTTAATATAAGGTACTTTTCTGAAATGGAGGGGAAATAAAAGCATTTCCAGACAAACCAAAACTAAATTTGTCACCAATGAATCTACTCTAAAGGAAATACTAAAGAATGTTAATTAGGAAGAAGGAAAATTACCCTGGGAAGCTTGAAGATGTAGAAAGAGATAAAGAACAATGGAAAGGCAAATTTGTCAGTAAGTCTAAATTATATGCATTGTATAAAATAGTACCTTGTGGGGTTCAAAAATATGTAGAATTAAAACATGTACACATTCAAAACAAAAGAAGATAAGAAAGAAGAGACAGAGAAACCTGCAAAAGTAAACGACTGCCGGAATGGATAAAAAATAAACAAAACTAGTCACATGATGCTTACAAAAGACATAACTTAAACATTAGAAGGCTGAAAGCAAAAGGTAGAAAAGGTAGTCCGTGAAAGTAAACTCTGTGTTTTGCATACTCACAACTGTAAACCTGCTTTTGCCCCACACTGTATAAATCAAAACTGACAGAACTGAGAAGGGAAAGAGAACTCCTCCTTCAGAGCGGGAAATCCAAACAATACTGTCCCAGTACTGGGCGGAAAAAGCAGGCCAGCTCAGTAAGGGTTCAAACAATAGGATGAAGAAACATAACTGTTGACACACAGAGAACACTACACCCAAAGAGTAAGATTCATATCTCCTTTAGCACACAGAGTATTTGCCCAAACTGACCAAGTGACGGGGCATAATGCAAGTCCCAAAAAGTCTCAAACAACTCAAGTCATACAGAGCATATTCTGATCACAATGTTTCAACTAGAAATCAACAAAAATCATTTAAGTAAAAAATCCTCTTGTATATGGAAACCAAGCAATTCACTTCTAAAATACACAAGTCAAATGAAATCACAATGAAAATTAGAGCTAAATATAATAAAAATATGACAATAGAAGAATATATTCCACTAGATATCAAAATCTATAAAAGCTATGAAAATTTAAGGCAATAATGGCACAAGACATACAAGAATATGTGCAGAGCATTACTTGCAATAGCCCAAATTTGAGAGGAATAAAATGGATAAATGAATTGTGGAATTTCCAGACAGTGAAAACCATATAGCAATGCAAATGAATGAATTACAGATACATGAAAAATATAGGTTAATTTCAGAAACATAATGCTGAGCAAAAGAAGCTGATTATTTTTCTGTTTTTTTTTTTTACATAAGATTTGAAGGTGCTAGAAGTCAGCTTAGTGGGTTACCTACGGGGAGGAGGAAGGAGTAGTGATGAAGAGTTCCAAAGAGGGGTTTCTGGGGTGCTAGTTATGCCCACACAAGAGGCTCACTTGGAGATAATTCACTGAGTTGTACACTTCAAATTTGTGCACTTTTCTGTGTTCATGTCATAATTTAATAAGAAAAAAAGAAGAAATGATATACTATATCACACATGGATTTTTTTTTTAACTTGAGTTTTTCACTTAATACATTGAAATCAGCTTTCACATTAAATAATATTCTACATTTTTTAACAGCTCCATAGAATTCCATTAATTGGGGTATCATTTGAGCTAATTCCCTACTATTGGGCATTTGGATTATTTTGAATTTTAATTGGTTTCTAATATAAAAGAAAGATGTTTAATAGAACAAGATAACATTATTAAAATTTCCATGAGCTAAGATTTGGATCTTTTACTACACTGTAGATTTTTTTTGGTTTGTTTGTTTTTTTACTTAAGACTCCCTTCTGTTAGTCTTAAAATGAATTGTTCTTGAAAAGTATCTATTGCTCCCTGGCCGGTTTGGCTCAGTGGTTAGAGCGTCGGCCCACGGACCAGTGAGTCACAGGTTCAATTCTGGTCAAGGGCACGTAACTCAGTTGCGTTCATCCCTGGCCCTGGTGGGGTCATGTGGGAAGCAACTGGTCGATGTGGCTCTATCACATCGATGTTTCTCTGTCTCTCTCTCCCTCCCACTCTATCTGATAATAAGTAGAAAAATATCCTCGGGTGAGGAGTAAAAATAAAAAATAAAGTACCTATTGCTAATTTCTACATTTCTGAGTCAGAAAGAAATGTAAACTTAATAGGAAAAAAGTGTTGAAGTTCTCTTTTATATTATAATGTCATCAAAATAACCCATGAAACAACAAATTATATATGATACTTTGATGTATATCATACATTTACATTAAACATGACTTTCTGTTCTTCAAGTTGAGAAAATTACGTACTAAGGTGAGCAAAGGAAATGTGGACAGTTCTGAAGAGCATATGAAATTCCAAATGTTCCACAGACATTTTGTTTAGAGAAAGTGACAGTTTTGTCCTTGGTGACGCCATGAAGAACCTTCATCACTGTAATGCTGCTCCATTCAAGCAGCGGTTTTCAATTGTGGTGCACAGTCAAGCCACCCTACCAGCTTTTAGGAACCAAGAAGCCTAGTCCACATCCCTGAGGAATCCAAACGGAATATCTTGAGAGTGTGGGACTAGTGTGTAGCTAATAATAATGTAGCTAATAACTGTTAAGAGCTATAAAAATGTTACTTACAGATATAGGTGCTTGCCCCAGACACTGTAATACGCAATGCATTAAGACAGTACATAAGATGTTCAAACACTTACCTGTGCTTGTACATCACCCTTTTCAGCTAGGAACTGGTAATACTGAATCAAATCTTCCTCTAGCATTCCACTGTTCATGCCTGGATTTTCCACCTCGTCCGGCAGCCGTATCCTCTGTACTACTGAGCCTCCTGTCAGTGAGATATCACTAGCAACTGAAACAGGGAGACAAAGCAATGATGTGGATGAAAGTCAGGATTGTCCCACAGAGAGGACAATTCCAGCTGCCAAATGTTGACAGACACCATGTTACAGGAAACTGTACCGGAGGTAGTCTATAGGGTACAAAACAGCAATCTAAAGTAAATTTAGTTTTTCCCACAAAATATTTAAGAAGTGGAGCCTACAGTAAAATTTAAAGAAGGGCATGTATTTCTTAATAAACTAGTGGAAAGCCATTTATGACATTTTAAGTAGTACAATAAAAATAGATGTATTTAAAATTAACTGTTCTTTTTGGTTTGGTTTAGTTTTGTTTTGTTTTGTAAAGTGAAAGGTAAAAACAGAGATACCATGATTAGCAACGAGACGGTAATGAGTCAGTGCGGATTCACAGCTCTGGAGGACTCCGATGCCGGCCCAGTATCGGTAACCCTGTAACACAGCCTCACGTGAGAAGACAGCAGTTTCCTGTGCTTCAAGGCATCTTGTTGGAACACATACAGCTAACCACACTCAGAATGTAACTCTGCTGTCTTCAGATCCAAGGACACTATCAGCTCATTTGTCCTGAGTTTCAGGTCATGAAGTAATTTATTTAGCCACTTCTACAATCACACTATAGCTAAGAACTAAGAAATAAAAAATCAATTTCCCAGAGCAATCCAAGTAGATGCATTGAACTTTATGTGAGCAAGCAGTGTGCACATTTTACCTATAGTTGAAAATTACTTAAGCTCTTGCTCAGAACAGATTTTATTCTTATTTCTGCCACATTTTAACAAAAAAGGGTTAACTGCAAACTAGCAAAGAAGCAACAGATGAGCAAAATAGGGAAGTCAAGAGACTACTAGAAGCAGACCAGCAATAAGTGACTTCAGGATAAGGGGGAGAGCTAATTATAAAGAGCAGGGAACAGAAAGCAGAGTTCTCTGAAGTCATTTAACACAGACTCAAAATAACTTTACACACTTTAACAATCCTCAGGGCATGACTATATAATAGCATGTACAATATTTAATGTTCTTATTTTGTAGCCACTATTGAAGAAGACTGGCAAGTAATTAGAGCAAAAATTAGAAACAAACCCTTATTTTTCACTTACTTAAACTCCCTCAGCAGTCTACCCTTGTAACTGGGACAAAGTCCACATAAACAGGGCAAAGTCCTTGCTCCTTGGCATGACACAGCTGCTTATGTGATGCCTGTCCACCTGCCCTGCTCACGAACTACCCGGTATTCTGCTCTCCAGTCACCCAAGTGCTTGTATTTTCCGGCAAACACCGCATCCCCTCTCCTTGCTGTCCTTTGCATACTCTGTTGCTCCCGCTGCCTGGACACCCTCTGCTTCTCATACTCACCCACCACAATCTATCCCCCAAGAACCAGCTTAACTGCTTCTTCCTCAACAGTACCTCCTCCAATCCCCCTTTCCAGAGCCAGTGTGGGTTAGATGACTTTCTAGGTGACTCCTGGACATTCCCATGCTGTACTATAATGGTCTCCTTACTTATGCCTCCCTTTCTTGATTAAAAGCTCGTTGCGAGCCAGGGCTGTATCTTATTCATCTTGGGAATCTCAACAACATGTACTCAATAATTATTTTTGGAATATGTAGGTAAAATTAGTTAGGATCCACCCAGCTGGCCAGAGAAGTAGATTTTCCTTCGTTTTTTAAGTGTCATATTTCATCAATGACCAAATCTGTAGGCCCTTTTCCAGATTTGGACTGGTTTTTCTCCTTTCAGTCTCTTTGCTGCTCAATCTATCCTTTATATTCCTATAAGAATGAATTTACAAATTCATCTGAAACACAGTAACGTGGGTCAGAGGTCATGTGAATTAGCCAGAGTCAGTTTATGAAGTACAAGGCAGATTCAACACCCCAGCAGTAAAGAATTTAGTGGAAAGATTCTTTATTTTACCACTAAACCATTTAAATGATCAATGTTATTAGATGACACATAAAAAATACTTTTTAATGAATTTGATAGGACCACCGGTTCTTCCTACAGTAAGTCCTTCATCAATTTTAATGTAAGAACTATGACAACTCATCTAAAAAATGACTCTGAAAAACAATTCAAAGGTACAAAAAAAATTTAAAAAGAGCCATTTATCAGATACTTTAAGGGCAATCAACCAAACTAGTCATTTGCATGAAAAATTGTGAACCCTAACAATTTTCATCCCCATGTAGATTCAATTATTGTATTCATTAATAAGAAGAATGTTCAATTGAGTATTTGGTCTTAGTGAATATAAGCAAACCAAATCATGAAAGTCAGAAAAGTCGTGGCCATCTGTTTACCAAAAGTTCTTCTGTTACTCAATGTTACGATCCTTCTACTGAAGTCTACTTACCAAAATCATGTGGGCTATTAGGTTGCCCCCAAGCGATCCAAAAGTATAATATACAAGGGCCTGTGAATGAACAAAAAATGCTTAACTGAATACAGACACATGTATTTACTCAATTCAAAATGTCATATATAATACAATTTTAATAACATTACCTTTGCTTGACTTGAGTTAACACCAAGTCCAGAGGCATAGAGAAAGCCAAGAGCCTGAAATAAAACGATAAAAGTAAGAATTCTTCCTTTGACGGAAGTTTATCCAAGACAGGCACAGTGCGATGAACTATGAAAAGAGGAAAGAATCTTTAAATGCTAAATAATTTGATGTTGCAAATTTGTACAACTTGGAATTAAAGAACCTCAGAAATGCATTCAAAGTTTTATAAATTATACAATGAAATATAACTTTACACAAGTCAAAATGTTTAGCTTGAAGATTAAAGATAATTTAATAAATTACTAACTAGAAAACAAGGCTAAGTACAAACATGGCTTTATTTGATTTTGATGAAAGTTATTACGAGAACAGAACAACTCCTATATCATTACATCAATGCAAAGGGGCATACACAACAAAAATGGGTAAAACACTGCCAAGATGCACCATCCCAGGAACACAAAGGGGCAGCAAGAGGTCAAATTGAAGTGGTCAAGAAAGAAAGGTCACTTTATAACACTAGAGCACACAATTTTCTAAAAAAATTCAACCAATCAAATAATGCACTGGTCAAGTCCTACCCTTTGTCTTCTGAGCTTCTTCCTTGACAACATTAAAGTATACGTCAAAGTTATAAAGGCAGGTACTATTCTCTCATCAAAATCCATGAGCTCTCCTGCATTTCCCAGCCTCTGTTATAGTCAGGTAGGGTCATGTGCCTGGGATGTGGCAGAAAGGGATGTAAGCCATTTTTAGACCTGGCTTTCAAGAACATGCAGAAAAACCTGCAGCCCTCTCTACTTCATGGGTTAGAAGCCCTACGTTCCAGATGGCGTAATGACGTGAAGGACGCAGTCTCTGACCCTGGGTCACCATTTGGAAGAGAGAGATGTGGGCAGGAGAGCTGCATGGAGCCTGGTATAAGAAGAAATAACTTGTAGAGATTTGGGTGCTTTGTTTCATCAGCTAGAATTAAATACCATGTATAAAGCACTGTGGCATTGTAAGGTTCCATTATTAGAGGGAAAAGATGCCTTAAAAGTATTAAATTATTCTTCAGAACAGAATGTATCTGAAGATAAAGAATATATATGTGAATACTATATAAACTGATTTATACAAAGAAAAGTGCTTTGAAAACAAAAAGAGCAATTAAGATATAATAAGTTTATAAAATAAAACCAAGACTACATAAGAGTTGTGGTCTGGTTAGGTGTTCAGTCCTATAGAAAACAATGGTCACAATTCCTGTTAATGTTGAAATCATCTGAAAACAGACTTTTTCTAACTGTAACTAGAAATTTATCTTTAAGCAAATCAAAGACCTTCAATAAACCTGAATTGTTGAAGGTATTTTAAATAAATGTGATGGCCTCCTAAATCCCTTACCATTACTAATAGGGAATCAGACATCATTTATCAAATGGTGTGACGTGATATGGAATACTGAACATCCCTATAATGCACTCTAGCCAAAAATGTTTTACTTGAGTTCATGAACTTTTAGCTGTGCTATCCAGTTTATGGAAAATAAAGATGATGAAAAACAAACTAGTGGACACCTTGAAGAAGTAAATAGATAAATTGAGGTAGGACATTTTTCAGAAAAACTGGCCCTCTCTAATGGAAAAAAAAGAAAGGGGGTGGTTATGCTAGAAATAACAACCAAATAAAGGCATAGTCCTGCACTAAATACTGGTTTGGACAAAACAGGTATAAAGGTAACTTCTTTCCCACACTATCTGAATATAGTATGGGTGTTATATGATGTAAAAAAATTACTGGAATGGAAAGGTGAAGGCCGATTATCGAAATGAGCATGCTATGAAATGGTAAACAGTGACATCTTATTTTAATAAAGAATTTGTATGTATCTATACACAAGGAGAAAGGTCTAGAAGGGTTTGCGTGCACTAACATATTACCAATGCTCGTGTCTAGTTGGTACATATGTGTGTGATGTTTACTTTCTTAGCATTTTTAGTTTGTATTTCTAGTTTCTTATAATGAACATGTACATTGCCCAATATATTTTTCTAAAAACACAAAGATTAATAAGAGTTGGAGCATCTGAACTTTGGAGAGAAATGCAATGGTGAGTAATTTCAAATAAAGACCAATTAGCTTCACGTTTTATTCTCTACAGCTCTAATTTGGAAAACTACAAACAGAATTGTGGCAAGATGCAACAGCAAAATGCCCTGAGTGACCATAAATGTTCTCAGGCAAAGAAAAAATACTGTCTAAGAAGACTGGTAATATGATCTGCCACAAAATTAATATTTAAAGATATTTTACCTGCCATTCTTATGTGTCAAAATAAGTCAGGGCACAAAAGTAAACTGCTGTTTAAATGAACAAGCGCCGTGTGCGAAGAGATTCTCCAGTGGAGGTACACTTACAGTCTGTCCCTTGGGAGAGCCTTCCTCGGTCAACTTCTCAAACATCTCTTTAGCTGCCTGGATGTTCTGTGTCAGGTAGTCACCAAACAAAAGAGCATATGACACTCTCTCCAGGGCCTTGGTGTGGTTCATGCTCGCTGCCTTTTGAAGATACCGATATGCTCTTTAAATGTAAACAATAAAAAACACATGAGTCATATTTTGGAACTTTAAATTTTGCAAAGATCTACTGAAATGCAACATAATTTACTTACTCTATAGTCACATTTAGTTGTGTTTATAGAAAACATTCTGGCTACTTTGTTTTTATGTAAGGTACCAGTTCTCTCTGTCATCCTCATATGTTGGAAGAGTCCAATTATATTAATAGTAAGTCTCAAAACTTCTATTAAAAACATTAACAACATTTGCAATGAGAGAATTGTAATAATATGGTGTCCAGTAAATAATCTAATGGTAACCATTGCAATTTTCTTTTTAAATCTTTACATAGACTATAACAAAAGTCAGCAGAAATTAAAGGGACATAAAATATTAGAAGACAGTCACTTGTTTTATGCTCTTTCCAAGTGTAAATTCCTAAATTCTAGTCTTTGCCTACAAGAAAATTACAAAGCAAAACCAAAAAACCCAAACACCTGACAACAATTCCTTTTGTTTGCTTTATGTCATTTTAAATTCTGAATAACATATGTATCCTTGGTTCTTAGAAACTACTTCAGTTAATTATTTCCACTTTGCTCATTGTTCATTGTTGTAATCAGCTTTTACAACCTTTTTATCCCAACAAGCTAAAATCTGATAAAAGCAATGCCACTGATGTCCATATATCGTATTAAATTTCTTGTAATGCAACCTAAGAAATCCTGTTTTGGCAAAACACTTTAAAAAAGTACTTGGCTGTTTATCTCTATAATGGCCTATCTCACGGGGGTCATGGACTTGGCAGTGCTACTTACTCTCTTTTTTGGCTTTTCTTATTGCTTCCATGGAGGATTTTCATCCCAGTCTGGTACATCATTTCTGCTTCCTGCATTTGCCGTCTTTTAGTAGCTTCTTCTTCAGCTGAAAACAAAATGTCAGATGCACTTATATAAATTTTAATTCTACACCAATTATTTGTCAAACCTCAGCATGTATTCTGCCTTTTGGGTAGTCACACAAACACAATTAATGATCTTTCACTCTATAAGTATGACTCCAAAGACATATGATTTAAGTGTGGCCTTTACCTGACAAAAGACAAGACTTAAAAAAAAACAAAACTCATTTAAATCACATTTGTAAACCTGCTTTTGGAGGGTCCCTTCTGCTAGCAATTCTAAAACTTTTAATAGACTTTAACTAGAATTTCAGTAGTAGCTTATGATTATATGCCTAGGTCAGCTAAAGTCAGAAGGACAGAAGGATATTAAAAAACAATAGTCAGCGCTAGCCAGTCTGGCTCAGCGGTTAGAGTGCCAACCTAAGGACTGAAGAGTCACGGGTTCGATTCCCGGTCAAAGGCACATACCTGGGTTGCAGATTTGATCCCTAGCCCCTGTGGTGGGTTCATGTGGGGGGCAACCAATTGATGTGTCTCTCTCATATTGATGTTTCTTTCCCTCTCTCTCTCTCTCTCTTTTTTTCTCTCTCTCTCTTTTTCTCCCTACCTCCCTTCTACTCTAATAATCAACAAAAAAATATCCTCAAGTGAGGATTAACAACAACAAAAAAAACAAGTCAGAAAAATACCATTTTAGTTAAAGAGCATTTTAACCTCACCTGAAATGCAGTATATCTTTGTACAGAGAGAGTATCTGATTAATTACATAATGAAAAATTTGTAAAAAACTGACTTTTGTTAAATATAGACCTGATTAAGTTCAAGTTCTCTATTTTTTTCCTATGAACTTATACAATACTGAAATTCACAGAATTGTTACAGATTTCTCAAAAATTAATTTTGCTACTATAATTTAGCATTGTACCAGAAGTCTAGAACTCATGAAAAGATATTGGAATATTTTATTAGGACCAATATTTTTAAAAAGAGAAGTGAGTTCTTGTATATAAAAAAATCTGATGGTGTTACACTGAAGTACCCAATCATACTGGCCTACATCCAAGGATGGGGTATATTTGATGTTAACTTCTAGAAATATCTAATTATCTCTTAGAGCCATTATTTTAAAAGTGTTCTTTGGAATCAAAGGAGATATGTTCAAGATTTTTTGTTGTTCTTTATTAGTTACAAATTTTTTCCTGAAAAAATACTCTTAGAAGTCAGCCCCTTCACACTGATGTTAACATGCAGGAAGGCTAAATATGCATAATTTGTCAAATGTTACCTAAGCACGGCACATCTTCCTCAAAGTGTTTTTTAAAGATTTTTAAAAATTGATTTGACAGAGAGGAGGGGAGAGGAAGAGAGAGAAACACTGATGTGAGAACGGAACACCGATTGGCTGCCTCCTACATGGGCCCCACCAGAGATCGAGCCCGAAACCCAAGCATGTGCCCCGACTGGGGATCAAACCAGCAACCTCTCTGTGCATGGAACAGCACCTAACCAACTGAGCCACACTGGCCAGGGCTCAAAGTGTTTTTTAAAGGTATTATTTTTCTTCTAACCACTCTTTCCCTTTCCATAATGCTATTTTCTTTACTGTTAAAAATGTTTTACATTTATTAAGTTAGCAGCCTGCCCAAGGGTTTGCAGAACAACTTGTGCGCACTGACGGAAAACCATCTCTAAATAAGACACAGTGTGATAAGCTGTCCGAATGACAGGCTGGAAATAAGTACACTGCATGCTTCCTATGTTAAAACTCCACTCTTTAAGGCTATAACCACGTTATCAATGCTAACTGTCTGTCCAGGGTGGAAAAAGACGGCTAGGAAAAGGCCTTCAAGATGTCTTCCGAGACATCGAGCAACGTGGACATGCCTCCTACAGATCAATACTTACTTTCACAGAAGCCCCACTTTTCATCTGCCTTGTAGTCATAGGTTGTAGCACACCACAGCCTGCCATCTTCCCTCCCATCTGATGTACACTCATCATATTCCTTATCCAGGAAAAGAAAAGGGAAGTGACAGGGCTCCCCATGTGCTGTGCCTTCAATGGCGGTCAAAGCTGGAAAGATAAGGAAAAAAAATCTAAACATGAACAGCACCTGTGATATTCATGTTTAACACTGTCAATTTCAACTACAAGAATTTAAAGACGAAGATACATGATTTGGAATGGGGAACATAAAAATGCCAGCACCAATTCTGTTTAGGAATGACTTGAAGGTGAGTCAACTTATGGCTAGCTGATTGCCTAGCTCTCTGTCTAGCTTAGGATTTCTGAAGGCCTTGAGATACGATGACCTTAGAATGCTGTCTACGGTCCAACTTCTGCCCAACTAGTGAGCAAAAAACAAGGCAAATGCAACTGAATCAATTCCACTGCTCAGCACAATGCTCCTCTTTCCAATCTGCGGTCAGTCAATTTCTTCAATAATATAGTTACACAGGGAAAATGATCCCTCAGGCACTCTGGATCCCTCATCACAAATGATCACATTCATGCACTCTGATCCCACAGCATTTTATTAGAGCACTTATCATACACATTGAGGTTTTCTTTCTTTACCATACTCTAGCTCCCACTAGACTTTGAGCTTAAGGGTGGAGACCGTATCTCTAATTTGTTCCATACATTCTAAGTATCTCCTAGGTGCTGGAAATGAGGTGGAAGAGGTTCCACTCTATAGAACGCACTGCCTAACAAGGAAGAGAGACATTAAACACAAGTGTGATTGATGTTCTGGAAAGTAACACCTCCCCTGTCAGGAACTGAGGTTTACATCGAATCTCATGGATGTGCAGGAACAGGGAGTGGTTGAAAGACTGCAGGGCGGGGTGGGGAGAAGTATGACAGAGGAAACAGGTGTGTTAAGAAAATAAGCATGGTACATCAGACAAAATAAATAGAGCTCAGGAGGTTGGAACATGCAGTGTGAGTGCCAAAGTACATGAGAGAAGAGGCTGAATAGAAGCATGAAGAAGTCAGACTAGGGAGGTCCTGACAAATCTTACGAAAGACTCTGGACTTTATCCTGAGAACAAAGAACCTTAAGTAGGAGTGATATGCTTATACATTTTATTGAGAGAGTGGACAATGGAATGGAGGGAAGCACAGCTGGATGCAAGGTGACCTGTCTAAAGGCTGTGACAGTGGTCTAATCAAGAGGTAATGGTAGCCTGGAGAAGATCATGGGAAGAAAGAAGTGGACATTCTAAAGTGATGTTAAGGAAGTAGATATGGTACTATTTACTGACTGACTAGACATGCAGATGAGAGGAGAGAGGAGGCAAGGAAGCTCCCAGGCATTGGGCTTCCGGTAGTGAGTAGAAGGTTGTCCTTCCTGAGATGGAAGGTGCCCACCACTGTACCAAAACTGTTTGGAAAAACAATGTAATTTGTGCTCAACATGTGTTTTCCTCTGGGAGTCTGTAGTTTTGGTACATGCTAGGCAGAGAGTGATTACATAAGTCTCCATTGAAAACTCCAAGTACTGGGTCTCTGATGCGCTTCCCTGGAAGATAACATTCCATGTGCTGTCACATGTGCTAAGGGATGTCAGTGCATCCATCCGGTAGGGCTCCTCTTGGAGACTTGCACCTGGCTTCCTTTGGACTTTGCCCCATGCTGATTTTGCTTTGTATCCTTTGGCTATAATAAATCACAGCTGTGAGTACAACTATATGCTGATCCTCCCAGCAAATCACTGAACCTGGAGATGGTCTTGGGGACCCCCAACATTAGCTGGCATCATATGTGGCATTCGCTAGAATGACCCTGACTCACTGAAGTAGGGTTCAAGAACTTTTTGGGAAAGGAAGGACAAGGGGCAGGTATAATGAATCTTTGGTGCCCTGTTGGGATTTGAGGACAGATCCAGCTCCAGGAGAGTGGGTTTGCTGAATTCCCCCGCTGCTTTTGCGCCATGCTGGCTACAGTGATGATGCCTTTGGGTTTGTTCTCTCCCCCGATGGAAGGAGGAAAGGATCCCCCAATTCCTAAAGGTGAATGGGCCAAAATGTTAAAACTCTGAACTGCTCTTTCCTCCCAGTGGAGTAGGGTGTGGTGGTGAGAAGGGAGTTAAATCGGGTCCCAGGGCTGGAGCCAAACTGTTGATAAACCAGAGAAAAAGGAAGGGAGGACACGTTCCAGCAGTTTTTTCCCAGCCTAGCTGCTGCTGCAGTAGCTCCCCACTCCCGTTCCTCCCCTGCATTCCAGCTGGATCTTCGGGCAGCTTGATGTTAACACTGCAAATGCTAAAGTTACCGCGAGGAGTGTAAGTAAAGTTGCAATGAGGGGAAAGAAGGAAATGACGTGGCTGTGTATTCTGTGGCTATCACGTCTGAATGCATGGGGAAAGCTGTCAGAAACGTTAGCTGCTTGTAATTCCACATATGCCAGAGGAATCGTCCTGATCAAGGGAAGCTGCACAAATGAAATGTGTCAGGGAGACCCGACTTCATGCTTTTTGCCACTGGTGGGCGGGCTGGAACTTAAAGTCTGAGTACTGGAAACAAGTTTACATAACTGATGGGTTTTGCTATAGACGAAGAGCAAAGTTTCCCACCTCAAAATATACCTTTTTGAGATATCGCTTATTTTAAGCTGGTTATTTTTAAGAAACAAAAGACTCAAGAGGAACCTTTTACCCCACCCTCCACATCCCACCCCTTACCTGCCTAAAGGAATTCAGATGTAAAACCCACCTGCTCCAGGAAGGGAAATCGCCTTAGTGTAATATGAACTGAGTGTGGCAGACAGGGAGGAACCTAGCACAGGTTTAGACTTCCCTCTGTGTCCCATTGTTTCTTGGTGGCCCTGCAAGAATTTGATTACCAAACATTTGCTCCTTCCCACCTACCTGTGAATTGCCTAACTTCCCTTTGAAGTCCAAACCACTGTCGCAGCCCTCCTTCTCCTTAGTTTAAAATGGCATATGTCTCAACTGCCCCATTTGTCCATTCATCCCACTTTCTTATGGAACCCTGTATGTACATACGCAATACATTTGGTTATTTTCTCCTGTTAATCTGTCTCATATCAATTTGATTATTAGACCAGCCAGAAGAACAATGAGGAGAAAAGAAAAGGGGGGAAATTTCCACTCCTCCACACTATGGATGATAATAGACTTTTGCTTATTGAATCCTCTGGCAAGAGGGAGACATTAAGAAAGAGAGATGATCCACAGATAGACACCCTTCTGAAGTTCTAAACAGCAGAGTTTAGCTTGCTAATGAGTGCTTGTGAAAGCGGAGGTCTGACCCTTAGAGACTGATGTGTGTCTGTGACTGGGTCAATTTGGACTCAAAGTCAAAACGAAAGGGCAGAGAAAATCCTTGGCTGCCACTTGGACTTTCTGACCCTGCAGCATCTTGCCGTTGCTGCTGCTGTAGAAAAGCCTCTGGCTTTTTAAGAATCCTGAATTCACAGATGCCTGGGCTTCAGTCTAAGCTACAGGCTGATCCTGTCTGGGATAGGCTTCCACCTCGGAGTGAGCTGTGCTGAACTGAAAGCAGGCCAAGGCTCGGTAGGCCGAACTCAGACACTGTGGCCTCTGCACATGAGGTCACCTCTCTGTGGGATGCACTGTAAGGAAGTCAGGAACACTGGGCTACACTGTCTGAGTCACATAAAGTGCCCACAGGAAAGGGCTTGTTCTTTGATGAGACCATGTGAAATCAAGCTGCTGACTAGCTCTCTGTCTTGATAGAGATGAATTGTGACTACTGCCCAAAGCTACAAGCTGGGAGAGGATACCTCACGGGGACTGTGCCCCTCCACTCACTGCTGACAGGCTGAAAGGACTCCTTATCCTTCTGGAACATGTCTCACTGCAGCTGACTCCATGTCTGGCTCTACAGATTAGCTGCTGTTTGCGACAGTTGACTGTTTACCTGATTCCGCTTCCCTCACCTTTCTCCTAGTGCCCTCACCTTAGCGCAATCTGACTATTCAGTGCAGCTCTCCTGAGAAAGGCCTTGATCTTTTCTGGGCTGCTCACTGGGCAAGGGGAAGGAGGTTATGTAAACCGATTTTGAAATCTTTTGAAAATTCAGGATTTTGTCCTGAACAATTTCTGAACAGGATGTCCTTCTAGTTCAGCTGTACAAAAATGTTCTCTGCGAAGACGTTTTGCCCCTCTTGCACACAACCCCTCCAGACGAGAGGTCTGGATGAGAGCAGGGGATGATGGAAAAGTGTAAAATTTTCTGGGACTTTGTCCCTTCCCCTAAAGGAAAGCTCTCTGCACCTTTCCCAGCTGTTGAGAGCGCTCTGAATCCCAACTGCTGAGCCTGCGCTCACCCTGGCAGGGCTGACTATGAGGCAGGCAGCAGGAGGCGGCCCTGCCCCTGCATTCAGACGTTGTCCATACTCGGGAGGTGGATGAACTGGTGTCATGGACAACAAAACTGTTTGGAACTGACTGGAAGTCTTTCTCAAACCAAGGACTGAACTACATTATTTGGACCAGAAACCCTAGGATAAGACACCCATTGGCGGGGGCTAGGTGGGGAGGCATCACACCATCTAATGTGTGTCTTGCTTGGGGTGATCCAACGAATGCAAATCCTTTGTGCCCAGTGTCACCATGTGCACCTCTGGGAAGTACTTCTGCATGTGCAGCTGACCACCCGGCATGATCTGTCCTGGAAGCTTTCCAGTCAGCATCAGCTGGCCAGAGTTGCGCAAGGCCTGAACCGACGCTTAGGGCCAGGTAGAAAGGTTAATACCGAAACTTAAGGAGGAAGCCACCTTTACGATTAACGGGATTTGTTAACTATCTAAGTCCAGGACCTGTGAAGGGCATAACTGAAATGAATACTGCAGGTTGGCCTCATTCTACCGTCTGGGTCTTACTGATAATAACTTTGCTGTGAAGATCACTTGGCCAATGACCATGGGGTAGACTAGGCAGAGAAGAGCTAACACAGCAGGCCTAGGCTTTCATCCCTGAAGAGGCCTGCTTACAAAGCCAGCCCTTGGCTGGTATCTGGGAACTTAGATTTCTGAAGGGTTCCTGCTACCCTAACTGTTAAGAGGGGCTCACTCTAATACAAACA